TTTTTTTTTTGTTTTTTCCTTTTTTTTTTTTTTTTTTTGATAGACTCGGGATCAGAAACCTGCTCTAATACCATGATGAATTCAAGGATTTGAGCTCTGATACCATGATAAAATTAAGGAGGGGAAGCTGATTTAGAGCTGAAAATATTAAACGAGAATTGACAGAATGCAAGAACTAAAAATATTAGAGAAGAAACCGGATAGGAGCCTGCTAGAAGCGAGGAAGAAGAATAAATTATTTCATTCAACTTGCAATTCTTTTATGTTACGTTTGATACCTATTTATAGAAGAAATGCTAACAAACTATCTAACAAATTAACAAGATAACAAACATAAGAACAATCTAGAATATGCTAGAATCTGGTGAGCTCGAAGAAGGAGTAACAGGTGCTGAACGTGATTGGAAGGATCTGGAAGGAAGAAGAGCTGGAACACGTGAGCTGCTGGTTCTGCTGTTGAGGCTGCTGGTGAACTAGTGGTTAAGCTTTTGCTGAACTAGAGGCTGGGAACAGGTGCTTGCTGGTTTGCTGAATTGTATGGTTGATTAATATTCCAACAAATGCACAGATAAGATCTAAGAGTAGGTGAATGGATGGAAAAGTAGTGTTGTTTGTATGCAATTCATATTTTCTGTACGTAAAGGACCGTATTGCCTATCTTGACAAGAAGTAAAGTACATAGTAATAGTTTATTTTAACTTTTACAATACATCACGCTTCTATTTGGTAGGGATTAAAATCAGATTTTTAATAAATTTCGATAAAAGTTGATGGAATGTATGGTCGAAAAGTTGTGGATCCCATAAAATGTTCAATTAAAATTAATTGTTAACTTTAACTTAGAATAAAATTTTAATTTTAATTTTTTCTAAACTGGGGCCAAGATAATGTGAGCCATTTTGCATATCAAAAAAAGATGCAAGTACATGTGAACAGATTCCAGTAGCATATTCGAAGAATGTAAATACTTGTGAAATGGATGAAATAAAACTATTTTAAGTGATAACTTTAAAATTTTATCAAGGTCACTCTAATAAGCACTTTGTGCTACAGTTTTAAATTTTGGAAAAATTGCAGGTGTGAGGATGTTATGACTAACCTATTCCAGTGAATATTGTTGATGGGAACAACGAAAGCATGAAATAAAACTTAAGCAATCGGAACATGCAACTTATCGAAGCTAGCTAAATCTGATCTGTCTTATTCCTAAATTATTCCGTGTACATTCGCACGTACAACTCACTCTTTGGTAACCATCAAGTGGTCCCTGTTCTCCCCAACGAAATCCATTCTTCCTTGTACCATTCACAGTCATTACCTACAAGTATAAACATAATTGATACAATTAAAACCAAAAAATAAAGGTAATAAATCATTTGCTAAGAGACAAAACATCAAATCAATTCAATAGCGAAGTGAAAGTAAACGTTAAATTACATATATGTAGATAATATTTCGACTTGTAGTAAGATTATATACCCGTGGAAGATCACCGTTGTATTTTCCATTCTTCACACGGACCCACATGTTTGCAAAGACTAATGTTAGACTGAAAGATAGCAAATGATGGATTTCGTTGAAGGGAAGA